GGGTCTGCAGCGCCGTGAGGAGCGTTGGTGGCGCCAGGGAACAGGCCCGAGCTGCTCCTTCAGCCCAGCGCAGGGTATTGACGCTCTCACAAGAATGGGTGACCTGAACAAGCAGGCACACCTGCTATTCACACAGGTGAATAACGGTTTATATTCCCCGTTCCCGGTGCAAAGTTCTGTCCTCTGTTTCCCCACTGGCTGGCTACTCCAGGGTTTACGGCCCATCCGACGTTTCTAATTATCCTCGAAGTTTCCCACCCCTGTTTACACATCCCATTCTAGCAGTTTGCTTTTTACCTTTTCAGGTATAATTCTGACCTTTCTTGCCCCTTTGGCTGCCTTCCCAATTACCAAAATGATCTATGCCTACTGGTGTCATCCTGCCCCGAGGAGCAACATAGAAGTGGCTTTGTTTGGTCTTGGCCATAAATCCTGCTCTATGTTGGGATCCCCAGATGGAGCCCAATTAAGTCCCTCAGTTTCTTGGACCGTAAACCACTCCAGGTGTCATTGGAATATGCAGATATCTCACTTCTCTCTTAAGCAAACTATGATATTCCTAACACTAGGGTATATATATAAAAAAACCCCAACACTGTGCTTCTAACACTAGGATGCAAAAACTGCACGGCATTTCATTTCTAACACCTTGGTCATCAACAGACTGTCCTGTTGAGTTACTGCAGGAGGCTGAGTGAGCAGCTGGTTTTCAAGCACTAAGTGTGCCACTGAGCATGGGAATAGCTGTGGTCCCAAGGCCACCTATGTTAGCAGGACCAGCTTTGGGTGTCCTTGGTGAAGTTCCAGCGATTGCTGAGGCACGGGCACTGCTCTCCCACCTGGCTGCAGGGTGGACTTGGCCCGCGTCAGGGCAGCTCACGCACCTGCTGCCTGGGAGTCGCTGCACAGCAGAACCTCTTCCTGCCTGCTACAGCCTCTGGAAAGCATCAGCTTGAAAATTAGCTTGCTAAACACACATGCGCTGGCTCTGAACGTGGCTTTGACATGAGGTTCTCAGTGTCAGGCTAAGAACAGTTACAGTCGGTCCTGCTGTGGTGTCTGGCCTGGAACAGACACCCTGGGGTGGTGCAGAGAGGAGCAGTGAGCACCAATTCAGCTGGTGCCTGCCAGGGCCTTGCAGGGACCAGCAACGTGGGTGTTCAAGGTTTGAGTCTGGGGGTTCCCCTGTGACATCCCCCAAGGAGGAGTCCCAGAGGTCTACCCACAGGACAGCAAGTCTTCTGCTGTTACAACTTCATGCTCATGGAACACACTGCACCAGAAAGGTACCCCAATGAAACTGAAAAGCTAGCATGATCCTTTGAAAATCTAGGCCTATGTCTTTGTTTTACCAATATGACCAAACATACTGTTTTGATAGGATGAAAATACGCAAAAGTGCACTCCTATTCTTTCTTACATTTTCAGTTCTGTCAAAATCTCTGCACAATTACACAACAACGTTGTGTGAACACGTGCAGCCATTATTTTCTCCGTTTGCACTTGTCAGGGCTATTAAAAGTGACAGATTATGTTATCTGATAATCATCATGTTTACAGCAAATGCAAACACGTTCACACAATTTTCGCAGGGTTATGCACCAAGCTGTCCTCTGCACTGTCAGGCGTGCAGCTCTTTGTTTCAGGTCACTGGGAATCTGGAATCCCAGTATTGCACAGGTC